TCCTGTGTGTGGTACTTATGTACAGGATATTGAGCCGTAGTCGAGGGGAGGAGGGGTCCAACTGTGGACATTGTGTCATTGCTGCTTTTGGTAGATGATGTGGTCCTGATGGCATCTTTGGTCTGAACTGTAAATGGGGGGGGTTCGCAGCAGAGTGTGAAGCGGATGACGATCAGCACCTCTAAATCTGAGGCCATGCTTCTCATGTTGAAACTTTCAGACATGTGGCGCTTGTGGCCACATGGCACAGTGAGTAAAAGCAAGTACATGCCAAAGAATCTGACTAAAGTAAATTAAGTAAAGACAAAGTCAGGAAAACGACCCATTGCAATAGTACAATCGATTTTGTTAACTCTTAAGTCCTGAGTAGTGAGCGCCCTCTGGCAACCCTGTGGTTAGCGATTCCATCCCAGGGTGATACGTGTTCTGCGTGAGCAAGACACCTATCCAAGCAATATGCTTGACATTTCAACCTCAAGGCGTCTTCCTTATGAATATTAACAAAGCAATGTGTACTGAAGGAGGTTACAAACCCTTTGAAAAAGGTTTGTGTCTGGCAACCAATACGATATTCAAATGGCTTAATACTAGTCAAAAATGTATGAATACATGCCTTGTTTACCAATATCTTGACTTAATAATGTAATAAGTATATTATTTTAAACAGTGACACTGTGCCCATGTTAATTTCCCAGGCTAATAAAACTAACTGGTAGGATTATGCAATAAAGCTTTACCAATCACAATGACAGGACAACAGTGGCAGTACCTTTCAGGTGTTTCTTCAATTCCTCAAACCTACAAACACCCATAAACATGGTAAAGGACAAGGAAATAGAATACATTCCATTCCTGTATTTACTCTCCAACAATCCAGTTTCTCAGGAAGTGGTATGGTTCAATCTTAACTTCCTGTTGAACAGAGCATCATCTCCATATTTATGCTGTTTCTGCAGAATCAGCCACCCTCTGTCCTTCCAGGTAGGGACTGGGTCTCTCAGGAGTGTGGGTGAATGTTGGCTTGTGGAGCCCTAAATCTTCCCTGTTTCTGACATTATCTTCAGTAACGTCTCTGCGGCCTTTAACCTTTGCTAAACCTACTTTGGGTTGGAAGACTTTACTCTTGTATCCCTCGGGATGGTATGAGAGACACCCTTCACTGTCACTTTTATTCTGATCATAATAGGCTTTTTCATCCTCCTCATCACTGCTGATGTTAACCAGCTCTGCCTGGATGTCATCTTTATCCTCAACATTTTCATAGCCCATGAATATCATGCTAATGGCTTCTGATTCTAGCTCCTCTGGCAGGGTGTTCATGAGATTAAGAGAGGCATTGCCATCTGCAGAGACGAGTTCACCTGAACCATCTGTGAGAACATAAAGATCAACTTCAGCCTTACGGTTGGCTAGTGGAGGACTGCAGCCATCTACACCCATGTAGAATGGTTGTTTGGGTGCTGGTAAACCTCCAGACCAGGCTTTGACTGAGACAAGAGCTGCTGGGTTTGGACAGCAGGCATCCGTCTTTCTGTTGGTGGGTCCCCGGAGAGTTTCGTCATGGCTGTCAGTCCTTGATTGTTTTGGAATGTGAGGATAAGGCCAATTGATGTCCTGTCTTGGTCTTTGGACTCTTGATATTGTGTCAGGTTGGATTAGACTTGGGCTGTGTGATCTGTTTGTAGTTTGTGATGTTTCCAGATCTAGGCTGCATTTTATTTCCTCTCGGAAGATTTGATCTTCATTTCTGGGCAGGACTGAGCTTTGAAAGGGCCTGGGGGTTGGAGTTTGTCTCATTATCCTAGGCGTTGAAGGTGTGCTGCTTCCTGTGTAGGGTACAGCGTAGACAGGCTGATGGTACTGCACCTCAGGTACGTTCTTCTTTGTGGCCTGATGCAGCAGCTCCTCTAACTCTGTGGGTGTCATCACTCCCACTGTGCCATGGTGGATTTTACTTCCGTCTTGTTGCAGAGCATATACGGACTTCCGCCCATCATCGTACACCTTTAAGCCTCTCTTTTGTACGGTTTCTGGGGTGATGGTTGCTGTAGAGACTACCTGACTTTTGCCTGTTCTCTTATCATGCTCCACACTGATCTCCATCACAAACGTAGCTGGAATGGAGAAAATACTTAAGTGAACTTTTCTGGATAAAGCTTAGAAAACAATCAATGACATGTCTTGTCACTGAACATTTGTTGATGTTACATATATTCTTATTTTTGAAAACTAATACTGCTTTCTTGGCCTATACATCATTTATAGTTTATGATATCACCATAGTAAGAGATACAACTGTTCAACATTAATTGTTTTATCAATTAGTCAATTAAGATCATGGGAATCAGCAAAAATGCAAACCATACATGGATGGAAATTGTAATTTACTTTAGAAAGGATTGGCGCCACTTAACTTGTCCAAATAAGACAAACAAACTAATTCTGAAATCACACACAAAAACTAAAAGAAAGGTTGAGTGGGTAATCCTTTAATCCCTGGGTAAGCAAGGATTGCTAACTATCATTGGCATTTGTTTCGCCCGCAGTAGGCCGCAATCTACTAGTACTGCCTATTGGGAACCCCTGTCCTAAGGTTTCCTGTCCTAGGGTTTCCTGTCCTAGGGTTTCCTGTCCTAAGGTTTCCTGTCCTAGGGTTTCCTGTCCTAGGGTTTCCTGTCCTAAGGGTTTCCTGTCCTAGGGTTCCCTGTCGTTTGGGTCGTCTGTTGCAGGTGCTGGACTGTCGTCAGCTGGTTGAGCCACACCTGAGCCGAGGTTGCTCTGCCTTTAAAAACATTCTCTAAATGAATTTGGCACCAGGGGGTCGGGGAGAAAATTCTCGGGTCTGGTGTGACACCGGTGCTGTGTTTATGTTTGAATTTGGTTTTGTGCTCACCGTACATGTGCTGACCTACTGATACCTCCACATTAAATTGTTTGATGGTTTTGTCTAGCAACACATTTTTCCTCTTAGTTTGCTCGAGTGCTCACTGAACAAAGAGTGTAAAAGGTATAGTACCTGTAACGTGGTGCCTATGCGCACTTCTTACCATGTTAACTGAGGAATAAAGAATTCTTCTAAAACTAAGGCACGCTTGGATGTCACGTATGTCCTAGTGTGCTACACTCATAATACCATACTGCCCTACTCGGTAAATGCTCCATAGATGCTGGTTACTTCCTAGAGTCGGATGGGAGCCAGAGCCTTCAGTTATCAAGCTCCTCTTTTGTGGAACCAGCAGACACAGTCAGCTCATTTAAGACAAAGCTTAAGACTTTCCTCTTAAATAAAAGAAAATATTGATGGTAAAATCATTCATGACTAGGACCGTACTGAATGTCTTTTTTATATGTCTTACAGTGTCCATCTTCAAAAGGGGGCCCTGACAGAAATAGTTTGGGAACCACTGTGCTAGAGGATTACAAGTCTCTCTCCACGGGGAAGTTCCCTCGACAGAGAAGTATGATGTGTAGGCGGTGAAGGCCGGTCCCCAATCCGAGCAGACCAGCTACCAAACAGTCAAACGACCAGTCAAAGCAGAAGTCATCCAGCCGCACTTCCTGTAGAAGTCCTGTCTGCACCTACGGATGCTATTTGGACTTCCACTACAGATAGTTGTTATATCCTCCATTGTTGATGCGGCGTAAAAATGGTGGAAAGTTCAACTGTTTTCAGGACCACCCCCCATCCCCTCTCCGTTGTGTCTAGGGCGAGGGACTAGTTGCGTTTGGCGTGAACACACCATAGTCGTAGACGCAGAAATAGAATATAAAACTCCTTTGCTCCCTAGAGATTTTTGACGGTTTATATTTTTTATTAAGTTTTTAACTCAGTTTAATGTTTATTTGGACTATTGAAGGCTGAATATCAATTAGTGTGCTCCACTCTTTTTTCCCTATTAACTGTTTCTGTACCTGATGTTTGATGGCTTCTAAAAAGGTCGGCACATATGAAAACCTAATTGTTTCTCAATTTGCTAATATTATAATAAGATAAATGAGTGACATAATATACTTTTAGCATCCTAAAATACATTCAGCTTTGAGCCTACGCTGCTCTCTCTTCAAGGCGAGCCTCGCGATGCGCCGTTTTAACAAGTGAAGCTAATTGGCGTTTCGGGAGCAGGACCACACTTCCAACATCTTCCGGTATTATAAACAGCTTTACCCACTATTCACGTTCTCGAGGACGCATTGTAAAACGTGGCTCCTTCTGACGGTCTTTGGGGGCTTATACAAAGATGACATCCCAAGCGTCCTTATTCACTCAGACAACCTTCCCGTCGTTTGATCTGGTCTACGTGACAGATTTCGTTACTTTAATCATTCCAAGATAGTCCTCAAACGCTTTAACCCTCACCTTCAACACACGCCGTCGTACTTGCATACCCTTTCCTATCCTGTCTTTCAGAAGACACCATAACATTCCACTTAAAGCGAACGAAAACCAACGAATCAGGCTGAACTTCACCTGTACCCTAAGACACAGTCACCGCAGCAATAACTTAACATCGCACACAGGACTGCGGTGAGGACACACAACGAGGACAAGGACATTTCATCCAAAATAATTCAACGTGTCTTGAATTAGTTTTGTGGGGCTTTTGAGTTGGTCTTTCCTTAACACACTGTTCATAAGGGCATCTCAATGTATATACATATGTTCTACTAGATTTTATATAAATATATTCCTATTGTAATGTATTTACTTATATATTCATGATAATTATACTGTATATTTATAGTAATTGTTATGTTAGTTATATTGTCTTTAATATATATATATATAAATATACTGAATTGTATGAATAAGATGTCCTTACTATGTTAAAATGTAACTGCAAAGTAATAATGCGTGTTCGATACCCTTTTTTTGCATTGAATCATACTGGGATGTTTAGTGAAACTGATTGACTGGCCCTACTAAAGAAAAATTCCCCCAGCCCTTACTCCCGTTTGTATTAATATTTTCAGCAAAAGCAGTGGTTAAATTATATGTGTACCTTTCTTTGGTCCTTCACTAACAAGTTCATGCACTGGAGGGTTTTTTGTTGGTGTCTCTTGGATGAATGATGGGATATCTGGGAGTGGTGGGAGGACATGATGTATCTCATCTGAGGAGAAAAAGGTTGACGAGTGATATACAATAAAACAATTAAAGGCCATGTTAGGTCATAAGATCATCATTTAAGGATCTTGTTATAGTAAAATGTTAAAACATTGTTACGTAAATATCAAGATGTTTGTCTTGAGGTTTTTTCAGACCATTAATAGACAATAATTTAAAGTGGCATTCTTTTTTTAACAGGGGCAGATATATACACATTAAAGCTATTTGATGCTATCTATTAATTATTATTAATATTAATTTGAAAGTCTGGCTCTGAGTGGACATATACTGTAGACAAGCCACTGGTTGCAGGTTGATCAATATTGCCTTGGAAACATGTAATGATTCCATGTAATGAGTCATCACACATCCAATGAGACCAATGAGAGCATTGGGGGCGGGCCTACCATTGCTGCAGCGTTCACATGAATCAACTGGTGGGGACTAAAAAAAATGGAGGAAGGTAACAAACTCTGACGTGACCATTAATATTTTTAATATCCTCCAGGGTGCCGTGTTGATAGACCTAAATGTATCTGTAGCTTTCATCACTGAAAGCTTTTTTTAGATCCCCCTAAAGGAAATCCAGTAAAAATATAGACTTCACAGACTAAAAAGTCACCTGAACAGAAAAATCCCTGCTGTCTACTGGCAGTTGAAATATTTATTGTAAATCTCAATTTAAACTTAATCTAATGAAAAGAACAAAATCTCCCACATTATAGAAAAAGTGTATAAAAGTCAATTTTAGGCCCCGTTCACCGTTTTTCTGACCCCAGCTGAATTCCCTCCCAAGTCAATACGGATGAACTCGCCAAACCCATGGTTGGCCCGCATGTGTATTCAGAGCCACTGAGCAAGGACTTTCAAAACAATAATTAAAAAATGTATGTAAAAAAAACGGCAGATAAAATAATTGGCTGTTATTTAATTAATGCGTTAATGTGATAATAGCGTGTTACCTTGCCTAGTAGACATATGCATGTCTGTCTAAATGTATCTAATATACATATATATATATATAAAATATAAGAACATTATGACTAATCAAAGCCATCTGTACATGTTAATAAAGCCCAGATATATTTTATGTTTACATAAAAAGGGAAACAGAGAAATAACAATACACGCCAACATGCTACAAAAGGTGTTTACCTGACTGGAAGTCTGCGTTTAGCGCCTACATGTGAAGACACAGTAGTTGATGGTCAAAGTGGTGAGAGGTCAACGTCACAGCAGTGCTCCATATCATGCCAAAGTCACATTCAAGGCACAGCTAATTTACGGTGTCTTACAGTTCCAGACAGCAACCAAAAAAAGAATTATGTCCATTAGTCGATGAGTGCAGCACAGCCACCATGTGAGACGTTCCTCTAGTTATTCAGCCAAAGCACTCAGACAGTGCATCTTGTTAGAAATACGCACGGATTAGAGGTGGAGCAGCAGGCAGCATGGGGTTAATATAAAGATGATATTTGAATTCAGTGGGATATATTCATGAAAGGACATTTGGCGTCCTCTAACCCACACGTTTGACAGTCACAACTTATAACCTCCTCTGTCCAGTGAGCTGGACTGTGGGACAGAGGTGGACGTCGTATCATTCTTGGCTAACAAAGTTTTTGTTGCAGCACACCAATTTAAGCAGTCATTTCCAGAGTTGAATTAATTTTATCATTGCATGATTTGAGGAAATGTTAAAAAAGGAAAGAGGTGAATTAAATGAAGATGTGACAATGTTTGCATCCACTGTTGCTGTTTTTCATATGACATAATTACATAACACCACAAACACAATAACACTGGCAGAAAACATTTTTCTAAAAGTGTCTGATGATGACGCAGCGTAAAATTAATTGACAATTAAAATACGCACAAATTTATATTCCAAAACACTTTACATAATAATGTGATGAATCGTAGAGATAAAAGAGGAAATAATTTGACTTTTTGATAACAACCCCCCCTAAAAAGCGTTAACCTAACAAATTCCGGGTTTTTTCAGGGTCCTTGTTTCGGGGGAACCTGGGGAAAAATCCCCCCCCCCCCCCCCCCCCCAGGGCCCCTGCAGGTTCAGATCCAGTTCTGTGCTCAGTCTGAACGCCCACGTACACCTGGAGAAAGTCACCCATTCACTCGCTCATGCAGCCACCAGACATCCAGAGATGTAAAGATTGCAGAGATACTGCAAAATGTATTTTTCACCAGTGAAACACCGATTTCATGTTTAACTAACATCCTCCTCCCAGCTCTGACGCTTGGTCGCAGTAAACGCACGATTGAAGTTGTGAATTCAAATAAAAACGTCCGTTTAAGTCTAAGAAACAAAAGAACTTGACCTGCTGATTCCAATTTTCATTAAAAAACTATGAATGACAGCCAGGCTACAGACAATAGTTTATTGAACCGAAAATAATTGTACTTGATAATTAGACCTGATTTTATAACCACAATCATCGAAGTATGTTCGTTAAAAGATTAAGGATGTTTAGATATTGTCACGTCTTAATGAGTTGCATTTTTAAGCAAAGATAATCAGTAAGCAGGGTAAGAGCTATTAAAGCAAGCACAGTATAAAGGGTTTATTTGGGCCTACCTTGATGATGTCCTCAGATGTCTTCTCCACTTCTTTTAAACGTTTCAGAACTACTTCTTCGTTTGCAGAGATGTCGAGCTCCTGTGTTTCCAAGGCTTCGATTTCCTCCTCTATTCTGTAAAAGACAAATATTAACCGCGCTGATGATTGAAACAAGCACAGCGGAATTAACAGAAGCAGCAGCTACTAGATTTTTCCCAATGTTCGGCATTCTGGGTAATATAGCTGTGTTTGCTATTAAGGTAATTCCAGTTTCCAGTTATCCAATTCAAACATTGCTTTGCATGCACACATGCAGGGTATCGTTCTGCCCTGAACTGAAGATAAGATATCAAGATAGTTAGCAGTGAAGGTTAGCAGTGTAGGCCCAATCTCTCCAATGGATGACGTGCCAGATATAGTGGCAAGTGGCAACATCGTTCTGCCAGGCTACCAATCCTACAAGCTGCTCTCTGATAACTGGTTCACCAGTGTGGATCCATCTCCTCCCAACCTTTGCCTCAGCCAACCCAACAATCTCTGTGCAAAGATGGGATAATAAAAGAAAGAAGCAGTGCAGACACACAATAAGAGTATGGGAGGAGTGGATCTTCTGGACTCAACTTCTGGTTTACTTCCGGTAACACTTCCGTGTGTAGTTTTGTGTTTAAAATAACATTAAACACAGTGTCTAAAATGCATGTAAGTGATTACATGCAACAACAACAACATTCGTTAATCTCCATTAAGAAATTTCTAAATGTGCTATTAATTAGTTAATTTCTTTTAATCTATTGACAGCCCTTATTGGAACTTTTGTCCATTTCTATGGAAAGGACCTATTTTCTGACTGATTCTCTCTACTGGGATGTGAGGTTTCACAAATGAAAATGCGCTTTAAACAACTAAGAATGCCTGAAGCCGCCTGCTGTGGTCGTTCCGCTGCTACAATGACATTTACCTGAGGATGTTGCTTTGCAGCTGATCACTCTGATGCTGTTCGTCCAGAGCCTGAAGCCTCAGGGCCTCCTGTTCCTCTTCCGACTGCTGACTCAGACCATCCATCAGCCACTGCTCCCTCAGGGCTTTCTTCTGTCAATCAAACACACAGAGATGAGCGTCAATTGTGAGTTCCATTAACAGGTCATGTTAGCAGCCTATTCCACTGGGTGCCCTCAGTTTTAAACCTCCCCTAAGGAAAGGTGGAAAAGATCATTTTATTGATTACTAAGTTACATTTTGCTTTTTAGACTTTGCACAGTTTTAAAAAAAAGGTGAAAATGTAAATACAAACGGTTTACAATGGCAGCTCTTGGGCCAGAAGAGGATGTGTCACAATAGTAATATAAATTGCATCACAAAGTTACATAGAAGTGGCGCAGGGAGACTGGTGTTAATTCTTTTTCATTAGTTAGTGGATGCTCTTTCTTTTTGTACAAATTGTAAAGACCTCTGAGGCCAATTTTTGATTGTGGGCGATTCAAAATGAGTTAAATTTAATTGAATCCATTAATTCCTCAGGTTGTGTCTGAGATTGTTGCAGTGTAATCACAAAACATATAGATTGTAGACTATTACTGTCCTCATGAAGCCACATCTCTTTCCCTCCTCACGGGTTACATCTGATGGTAGGTGTTCCTGCTGTTGTCCTACTTGACACTAAATGGCAAGAACTTCATGTTCCTGCAGTAGTCTGGAGTACACAACATTGTCTTCTGGTAGTTTTCTTCTTGCTAAACAGTCAAATGTACCTTCATGTACTGGAGCTTTAATTTCTCCTCCTCGATCAGTCTCCTTTTCTTGGCGATGTTCTCCTGGATTCTTCTTTTGTTCTTTGGGGACAAATCAAACACACGTTTGCGTCATGTGCACATTTTACCACATCAAACCTTTCCACCTGTTGTACTCAGGGTTCATACACATTGACCAATAGATATTTATCACAAACATTTAGTAAAATCTTGGTGTATAATTTAAATGTAGTATTTAAACTATACACAGTGTTTCCACAACTATTCAATTAGGCCCCAAAAAAGTCTGTTTTTTTAAGTTCCCAACTATGCACTGATCTCCAGTGTTGGGCAAGTTACTGAAAATGAGTATTTAGTTACAGTTAGTAGTTACTTCTCTTAAAAGGTAATCGCATTACTTACCAGTTACTGTGTATCAAAAGTAATTAGTTACTCTGGAAAGTAACTTTTAAGTTTTAAGTTTGCTTTTTAAATGTAATGAATACAATACAATTGTATTGTCACGTTGTTCTCCAGGGAGAGATGTGCTGCTCGACTTGGCTGGTAGTCGGGGAGCAGGGTGCCCTGCTGAGACACTTCCAGCTACAGGAGCAGTGTGTGGATGTCAGTGCTCTCTGTGTGTGGAAGCTGCTGAATGATGTCATGTAGTGTTGAAGCGCTTTGAGTGGTCAGAAGACTAGAATAGCATTTACCCTTCTTAGTAGCTTTGCCAGCAGCAGTGCTCTGATTCCTTTAGCATGAATACAACACATTTTCATGACTTTTTCTAAACTTTTTTTGAGCACTTGTTTATTAGGTCTGGAAAAACTTTTCCAGGTTTTTCATGACAATACAAACTGTACGGCCGTGTTGACCCTTTGACCTTCAGCTGAGGGTAACCCATACAGTTTCTGAGTGTGTGTGTCCACCTGGAACTAGAACTCTTGCAGAAAGACATTTAGTCTAATATCGAGTTTGATTGTCAGCTGGATATTTCACAAATCCCAGACTGATGATCCCAAACACTGTGTTCCTGGATGTTCCTGGATGTCCCAGTGAGAGGGATCACTGTGGGTTGGATCTAGGAGCACAAAGCCTGAGTGAAAGGGGATCTCCCTAATGACTGCTGATGCTATTTATAGGTCTGCGTCTGACTGGAGCACAGAGACTCTGGTACAATGATCACATGGGTGGAATTTCTTATGTGTCTAACCCTCACCCACGTCCATTTGGGAAGCCGTTACAATTATGGCTGAGTTGGAGTAGAGGCAGCACACATTCAGAACACCATCACAATGTGAGAAGAACTCCCTAGCTGAGGAGGTACCAAAGGCCTAGGACTTGAGTTGGAAAGACAACGCCAGACGAAACACACGTCCTTTATGGGCTGTGTATAGAAAATAAAGACCTTTGTACCACTCCATAAAAAGTGACTTCTCCTCTTTGTGCTCAAAGAGAACCCAACCGGCAACAGGCATTTGTTGCACCCGGTAGGCTGACGGGGTTGGATTGATCCGATACAAGTCCACCTCTCGAGCGAAGTGGCGCCAAACGCAGCAACCGCAAAAGTTGAAATATTCCATCTTTGGCAACAAAACACCGTGACGATGCTCCCCGTCCCAGTTGTAGATACATACATCCTTGTACCTTTATTGTGACCGGTCTGGGAAAGATCTCGCAATTTTAAACAAACAGCATACAACCATATGTGCGTTTTTACAACATGCTCTCTGGCGAATGTCTCAAACAGAAGGAGGGTGAATGGCAAACGGACCCCTTAAAGCACTGCTATGCTAAGCTAAGTTAAGCACACAGTCTGGAGAGGACCACTTGAAAAAGTCCTGGCTGAAAATGGGGAGATTGTTGGACTTCAAACACAGCTGTTAAATGATGGAGTTGAGAGCAAAGTGCACGAGGACAACAGGAAGAGTCGCTAGTTCAACATGTTCCACCAGGTTCAACATGTTCCATGATGATCTAATTACCTTTGAAAAGGACATGGATATAGTCAAAATACTTATTCTTATTCCTATATTGCACCAAGTCAAATTTCTCTATGTGTAACATATGTGGCAATACATAGACTATATAAATAAATTACCTATAAAGTAAGGCTGTCATAGATAGAAAATGTACTAATTAATTGTACATTTTGAAATTAATTAATCTTGATTAATGGCTATTAATAAATTAATCCATGCGATTAATGTGTTTAGGATGACAGCCCTACTAAAGTTAAAATAGGCCTATGGATAGTCAAAAAACCTATGAAGCTAATAAAGTCTATAGATATAATCAAATTACCTATAACACTAAAAAAGGACATGGATATAGTCAAATTACCTATGAAGCTATTGCGTGCATTGTACGAGACAAGAGATGGAGTTCAATGATCGGTGTCACACAAAACACATTGATATAACTAGAAATATATTTTAAATTGACTTACAAATTGTTTTGTGTGACACCGATCGTTTAAATTGTCAAACATTGTGTGTGTGTGTAATCCAGCAGAGTTCACTCCATCACAATAGGAGGGGGGGAAGGGGCCATAAAATGGATTTCTCTAATAATACGAGCAAAGCAAGCAAAGCAGCTCCCAATATGTGACACAGAGTGCACATCCTAGTTTTCAATAATTACTGCCAGCAGCACAGGAAATATCCTTACCGTTATTGCCTGGAGCCTCTCCCTCAGCAGGTCAGCCTCCTCCATGATGGCCTACGGGACAGACAGATTGCATCAGGATCAATCACAATTAAAACTGCGAGCAGCGTTTGACGGGTCCTCGCTACTCCGCATGTCGGGGCACCGGTCGGACGGCTAGAAACGCAGACAAGACCTCCTGCGGCCATCGGACAAAGCGTCCAAGAGTCAGTCATCCTTAACCGTGTGGAGTAACGCCAGGAATGTCGCTTTGCAAACTTCTTCTTTAACATTATTAAGGTTTTAGGTCTTTTCTGACAACATTTGAGAGGGATCTGATTCATTTTGTCAGAAGAAGGGTATCAATCAATAGTTAATAATTGCACTTCGGGTTGATAGTATACCACCTCCAGGTATCACTCAGTGATAATCAGGACATTCTGATGTACCATTTCAAAATAAAAGCATATCAAAATACCATACATGAGCCAAAATCTCAATCACAAGACTACATCTGGTCAATTTCAGGTCAGAATTAAAAGGAAAGTATCAATAGTTACACAGTAATTCCACTCCAGCCAGAGAGTACACATCCCTAAGGTCTCGCTGAGACCAGAACATTCTGATGTACCATTTTACAAATTAAAGCCTATCAAAATGCCACCTTTGTATTTGAATTCCTGTTACCAGTATGCCTTTGATCCAACTTTACATCTCTTCATTTTTGTATAAAGTGGAAAGAATCCGATGATGGAGTAGAGTTACAACGGTTTAGTTGTTTTTGGCGAAGGATCAGCTTTGCCAATGCATCTCGCCACCGATTATCGGATTCACAGTGAAGCATTATCAAGGTCTCGCCTCTCCGCTAAGAAATTTTGAGAGGGATCAGATTGACCTTTGAGGAGCATAACCTGTGAGGAACAGGGTGTAAAATAAAAAAAACAATCATCTTCCTGTTGTCACCAGGTGGCGCTATGACTAAGGTTAAAAATGATCTCATGGATGTCTACTGGGTAAGAAGTTCATGCCATATGAGAAATATGGAGCAGATTAGATAAAGGTTGAGTTAAAACAACCTCAATTTTCATGGCAAATTATGTTTTTTGAAAATTCTCCCCACACAGATAGTTTGGAATTTCTTCCGGCAAAATGCAATTTTTCGAGATTTTTAGATCACACTGTGCGAATTTGAAAAGAATTGGGTTTAATCCGTGGGAGGAGTTCGGTCTTTTACAACTCCAAAAAAATCATGAAAATAGGCTAAAAATGCAGATTTTCATTAGATCATATATTCTCAAATCAATGAGATATCAATACGAATTGTATGGATCTACGGGACATTGAATGATCCACCGCGAATTTTGTCTCAATCTGACACAGCGTTTAGGAGAAATGGCCAAAGATGTGTTTTTCACAAAATTCAAAATGGCGGAAAGTCTCGTTAGGGGCATTTGCATACCATCATTGACTTTTTTGTAGAGCATGTCCAAGAGCACATGTGTGCCAAATTTCAAGTCAATCGGGCGTCGGGGGAAAAAACTGGCCTAGTGGGATACTATAGGGGGCGCTATAGGGACATTTCTCGTCAAAATGAGAGACCCCAAAATTATCCAATTTTTCACCAGTTTTGATATGCGTGCCAAATTTAACAACTTTTTGAATATGATAAAAGGCCTCAAAAAGGGACATTTCCTTTGATAAAATAATAGGTTCCTCTACGAGTAGTTGTAGCAAGGACCCTAATTAACTTCATCGGCCATGTATGTCCCCCACAAACAAACAGCCCACAACAAAACCAGTTTTTCAGCTTCTACGTGACTCCTCTTAGCTCCTTAATATCTCGCCCCCCCCCCACACCTCTGTGTAGGCCTCCTCTTTGCCCGATGAAGCGGACGGACTCTCAGCTCAGGGCTCCCCAAACACGGGGCCCTTTGAGGCCAAGGAAGCTTCAATTACTAGTCACCTTGCACATTATCATTTATAATAACTGAACAACCGATTACAAAGGAAACAAAAAGGTAGGCGCTCTCAACTTCTTCTCCTGGCTAAATGCTCACCTACAGAATAATCCACAGTGGAACCAATGTATTGGTGATAAATAAGTCATACTGTATTGATTAGATGTGCTGAAAGTACCAGTGTACTTGCGTGTGTTGTGTATACAAATCTGTTTTTCAGTTCAGTGCTAGAAATCAGGTCTTTGTTGGGCTTCAACAGCTGCACTGAAGTCAGGCTGAATGTCTGAGGTGGAGATACAACATCAGGAGAACACGTCCTCTTCTCACTCAGAAGGCAGCGCAGGTACTGATTCAGGCTCTTGTCATCTCCCTCCTGGACTACCTGACATCCCGACCCGCACTCTCCGCTCTGCATGTGATAAACTGCTCGTTCCTCCTCACTGAGAGCAAAACACTCGACTAGATCTCCACTCTTTGCTGTCCTGCTCCTAAATGGTGGAAGGAGGTCTGTGAAGACATCAGGACCACAGAGAGCCTTCACATCTTCAGACTAAAGACACACCTCTTCAGACTCTACCTCCACTAAAACACTCACAACATTTTTAACCCGTGGCCTTTTTACATTTTGCCCAGGAAGCAGTTAGGGGTTAGGTGTCTTGCTCAGGGATATGGGACAGCCAGGGCTCGAACCACCAACCTTGTGGTTTCCAGCGCACTCTCTGCTCCGCCACGACAACCCAAATCATGTGCATCATGTTCATTTAGACTCTTGGAAACACCTTGCAAACTCCTTCACCAGGCTGTACATGTCATGTGCAAAGAGGCCTTCAAAATAAACTAAACACGGCAGCTCTATTCTGTGTACACTTAGTGATGTTTTATTTCATTACACAATGAATCCAACGGTCATCAGTTTTCACCCTGAGCATCTCTACTAACCTACTCTGCAGTGAACATTTACCACTAGGTTACACAACTTTATTCAAAGATTTTGGGGTAATCCCAGTTAAATTACCCCAGTTGAAATCAAAAATATCCACTCTTAAGTCTCCAAGACATGAAAATAACTTTTTGAATCGTTAATGCTACATTTGACTCCTCTGCTGTGGTGAAGGTGGATGATTCATTGAGCACAAAGCTCCAGGGAATGTAACATGACTGTGTGGGGGTTCTGTCCCACCTTCTCGCTGGAATCACAGCTCAGCAGAGAGCGCTAGCTTGATAATATGCTCACTTGGAAGAGATTCCACGGCACATTGTCCTGTCCATCCTGCCCCCATGGCAGAGAAACAGCCACAACATATAACCTTTCCAACTCCATGGTCAACAGTTGTGTTCTTAGGGTTATAGTTAGTATATCACTTCCTCCAAACACGGCGTGTCGGATCACGAGCAACGCTCTAACCATTTTGGCTTGTGAGTGCCCATGGAAGCTGCCGATCATTTACGCCTGGTTTAGTTGAATGCAATAGGATTAGACGACTCCCAAAAGTGGTTAAAACTGGCAGATCGCTTTACCACAACAGGACACAGGAAGAAAATCCACATTATGACGGCTCCCCCGTCGTGAGGACGTCACAACAGCCTCCTTTAGACAAGTAATCCTGACTTTGGCAACGTGAAACACGTGTCCACATCACTTGGATATGGTATCAAACTGGTATCTCCATGTTTTATAAGACTAGGCAGTGGCGGCTGGTGGATTTATGTTTTGGTAGAGCCAGCCAGTATGCTTCAATGCAAAAAAGGTATAAAACACACATTATAATTCAATTTATTCCGGTTTAACATAAAACAAGATATCTTCTTCATACAATTCAGTATATTACATATAAATATGATGAATATATTAATACACAATCTAATGGAACACGTGTGTGATATATAGGTGTCGCAGCTGGGCAGCGATGTTAACTTTCTCTAACACGGCGCGTTGATGGAGTTATGTCTGTGTGTTATGTGTCCATCCCTGTAGATTTGTAAAGCAAGCATGGGAAGCAAAATACGGCATTAGCACAACTGCACCCAGCTAGCTACATTTTACAAAAGGATTTGATGTTATATAGATTTTTTTCTAACATATCGATCAACTGATTTTTACACGTCAGACCACTTAAAAGGTTCCCTTTTATCCCCACAGAAAAATTATTGTCCAGAAAGAAAAAGTAGTTACACACACACACACAATTTAGTTGTCTTTTAAAAGCTTTGCTTAGTTGTACTTAATTTATTTGTCAGTGGGAAAACTTGAGCAAGGGATCGAATATGTTCACCCAATTACATGACATCATACTCTACTACTGTGTCTCCCACCACAATATGGATTTGAGAGGGAGGGAGAGCAACGGCAGTAGCATGTCTGTGTCACATGTCAGGTGATGATCGATCGAGGCCTACGGAATGCCCCAATGACTGCAGGGAATGTAACATGACGGTGTTCTCTTTAATAATAACAACAGAATGATCACTCAGGGTTAAGATGCACCCGACAAACCTCTCACAATGCTGTGGTCTTGTGGAATGTGGCTAATATATTGATGTTGTACCCTATTTTGTTAAGCATCTAGGTAGTCATGAACTATAGTTGGATCTAATGTGCTCTGGCTGAAGCAGTGATACTTCTCTGCATATCAGAGGGGGTTCATGGCTTCATGTGGGTGTATGTCTAACATCTCCTTGTCCAGTTCGTTGTAATGTTTCACGCTGTGGAATAAGAGCAGCCTCTGCAGGAAAGCACTGGTGGGCTTCGGGTCATTACCATCATCTGGGTCGCATCGCTTATGAGTGAAGCAGCTGTATTCGTCACATTGTCCTTTCGGTTACTAAATGCTACTGTTTGGAACCAATCCATTCAACGTGAACACAGCAGAAGAAGATGAGTTTATAACTGGACACAACATCCTCCTTCGTAAAGGGAGTCTTCCAACCGAAGATCAAATCCTAAAACCAGGCTAAAAAAAACTTTAGCTAGAAAGCATTCAAGTGCCAACGGGATGTGGAACAAAGAAGTTTCAGGATTGATCATATAAAGTGGTAAAAGTAGCCCCCTGTCTGAGAACAGTGAAATGCTGCTTACACATTGATTACCAGCATTAGTCTGATAATGTCATCTATACT